GGTATTATGTCTTTGTGCATTTGTTTGTAACAGGCAAAAGGAAACGAGATAGACCCATAGTTCCTTTTGATGATCTGCATAGAATCACATTCTGAGTCGATTTATGCATGTCCGTCTGTCCGTCCGTCTGTCCGTCCGTCTGTCCGTCCGTCTGTCCATGTATTTTTGTAAACAAAGTACAGGTCGCATTTATTATCCGATGCAGATGAAATTTTGCACAGATCATTTGTTTGGCCCAAGGACGAACCCTATTGAAATTGGAGATAATCGGTAAAAATTTAGATATAGCTCCCATATATATCTTCGTCCGATTTGCCTTTTATTGTGCACCAAACGTGTAATATCAGCCCGAATTGTATGGAATTTTGCATATACACCCAAATTAGGCCTGAAAATAAGCGTGCCAAATTTGATCGAAATCGGTTTAGATATAGCTATAGCTCCCATATATATTGTTCATCCGATTTGCTATTTTTGTCCTCCGCAGCCGTAATATGCACTCTGCAACAACAATATTTGGGGAAATATATCAAATACAGCTCAGAAATATCTTTGCCAAATTTAATCGAGATCGGTTCCGATTTGGATATAGCTCCCATATATAACTACGACCGATTTACCTTTTATTGTGCACCAAACGTCTAACATTTGTCTTAATGGGATGGAATTTGGCACTTACGGCCGAATTGAGTCTAGAAGGTAGTATGTCAAATTTGGTGAAGATCGGTTCAGATATAGCTATAGCTTCCAAATATATTGTCTATCCGATATACAGTGAAATATATAAAATACAGCTCAGAAATATCTTTGCCAAATTTTATCGAGATCGGTTCAGATTTGGATAAAGCTCCCATATATATTTTTATCCGATTTTAAATTATTTGTGCACCAAATGGGCAACACAAGACCGAATTTAAAACATACAAATACTTCGGCATAACTTTAAATTATAATTATAATCATAGCGCGTATGAGTGAATTCTCCCATAAAAACTTTTAATTGTTATGCGGAGCTCTACTAAATTAGCAAAGTGTTGTAGGGTATCATAAAGCCGGCCCGCCCGACTTTAAGACTTTCTTTACTGGTTTATTTCTGTGGCGGTGTAAGTTCTTGCACTTTTTGGAATTTCAATGGCTTTAGCCCGAGCTCATTTTTCAATATTTGCCGAATGGAATATTGCGATATGTTCAGCTCACGAGGCATTTTTCGGCCACAGCGACGCGGTTTTCGATCAAGTCGCTTAATTACTTTTCGAACCATTTCTGCTGATGTTGCTGTTTTCTTCCGTCCACTTCCTTGACGTCGGGCTACGCTACCAGTATCAAGGTAACGAGCGATGGTACGAGACACAAAACATTTATTCACATTTAAATGCTGAAGTGCTCTAACGATAGCCACTTAAGGTTTTCCAGCCAAATATAAAGAAATCACACTATCACACTTGAATTCCATCACGAATAACTTTTTTTCTGGAAAATTCTCACCAAAATGCTTTTGTACGCTTGTAAACAATATGATGAGCTGTCACAGGAATAATTTTAACAGCTGTCGGACAAGTGACTTGGCAATGACAGCAGTCTGAAATTGATTGCAGTTTTTCATCTCACCCTGTATATGTTGTCTCTGATGGATGGCACAAAATATTATTGTTTCGCAGTGCATTTTTGGGGTGTGAGGGATCGAATAAAAATATATACGAGATTTATAGTTATATCTGAACCGATTTTCACTAGATTTGACACTCTTTCTTTCAGGCTGATGTGCCAAAATCTATGATATTAAAAATTTGTATACAAAGCTTATATATCTAGCTATATCCAAATCTAAACCGATCTCTATAAAATTTGACAAAGGTATTATTTTTCGAATATGGTTTTGGAGTTCATGAAAATATTACTTATTTGGTTAATTGCTTGGCTTAAGGTCATTAAAAAACTATGTTTTAATTTTTGAATTTTTCCTTTTTTTATTCATCCAATATTTCGATTTCCTCCGGAAATCATCTTCAGGGTATTTTTAAAGTAAAAGCTCGCCTATTGAGTTTAAATGTCACTATCAAACTCAATTTAAACTCAATAGACGAGCTTTTACTTTAAAAATATCCTGAAGATGATTTCCAAAATTGCAAAGTGCAAAATTTCATCTCGATCGGCTCATAAATATGACCTGTGCTTTGTTCAAAAAAAAAAGGTAAAAAAGCTTTAAATTTGGCCGGGCTGAACTTTGAATTTCCACCACCATCTGGAACGAATTTAGTAATTTTCAAAAAATAAAATTCTGTTAAAATCTTAAAAATGCCGAATGTTGCCGTTATACGCATCTATACGAAACTTGACAAAAATCGGTAAATAATGAAGCTAAAACCATCAAAATACCAAATATAGGGAGGTACAATTATAAAGGAGATATACCAAAACGTGGACCTGCACAGACAATTTGTTGTTTTAAGGTGGAAGTATCCTTTATGATGATTAAATACCAAATTTGAAACATTTCCGGTGAATCACCAAAATACGCTTAAATCACCAAAATACTGAAAATATGGAAGGGCTATACCAAAACGAGGACCTACATGGCCCATTTGCAATACCAAAAGTTCTGCAGACATAATATAAATTTGAATAACATTTTATCGATCTATTTCAATCAAGAATATATATACTTTTTGGGATCTAAAATGTATATTTCAAGGTGTTACAAACGGAATGAAAAATTTAATATATCCACCATACTATGGTGGAGGTTATAAAAAGACATGGACAGACAGAAAATTATTCTATGAGGATTGTCAAAAGTAACTACAGGTATATCTCGTTTCCTTCTTATTGTTACAAACAAATGCGCAAACTCGTAATAACCCTGACCACAGTGTGGTGTAGGGTATAAAAATCAGATCTTTAGCACTTTGCGGTCGCTTTATACGACTAAAAAAAATATTTAGTACATTATATTACTTTTCGTACACTTTTAGTACGAGTTTCCCAAGCTCTACCCTGTTCCCAAATACCAAATGTAATACCATTTAGTACTTTTTACCATATTTCAACAAGTTAAAAAGTATCACTCGGTTTAGCCAATAGATGTATACCCTCAGCCAATGTTCGATTATTAAAATATATTTTGACTTGTGTTATGATTATACAAATTGTTGACCTTCTATGCAGTAGTTTCTGCAGTAATGGAAATCGAATCTTATATCCAATTTTATGCGAATTCTTAAATTCCATATTCATATCAGATTTCTGGTGAAAGCGAAAATTGTTCTCCAGAAGGGGTTCGCAGATATATGTCATTTTTACAACAGATCTTTTGTTATCAAAAATGTTTGTATGTTTAAAATTTTCAAAATATTGAACTCTATGTGGGGAGGTATCAGAAGAAATCGTCCGATCTCTACCATCTTTATAATACATCTTGTGTTAATGGAAATATTGCGATGTACCTCTGTCTGAATGGAATGGGATCTTGGGTTTATAAAAATATTTGGATGTGCGACATTTTAAGACAATCGGATTCTTAGATCACATTTTATAAGGGCTATAATTATTCCAAATTTTGACCCTTTGTGGGAGAGGCACTTGATGGAGTGGACCGATATTATCCATTTTGGCACCTGACCTAGAACTGATGCAAATATTAGGATTTGCAAAGTTGGAACAAAATCGAGTTATGGCTTCCCTTTCTGTGCAGAAAACATTTTTTGTTTGTCTTTTTTTTTAATTTCGGCTTTTGTGGTGGAGGTAACAAAAGGAGTGGGCCGATGTATTCCATCTTGGTATCAGACCATGGGTTAATAAAAATATTAGGATGTGTGAAATTTGAAGACAACCGGACTCTTACATCAAATTTCAAAAATTTCAAAATTTTGAATAATTGCAACTCTTATAGTAATTATTCAAAATTTTGACCCTTTGTGGGGGAGGTACTTGATTGAGTTAACCGATATAGTCCATTTTTGCACCTGACGTAGCACTGACGCAAATACTAGGATTTGCAAAGTTGGAGCAAAATCCTTTCTCTTGCTGTGCAGAAAAAATATTTTTTAAAAATTTCGACTTTTTGGGGGGGAGGAACCAGAAGGAGCGGACCGGTAGATTTCATCTTAACACCAGACCTTGGGTTGATAAAAATATTGAGATGTGTGAAATTTGAAGACAATCGGTCTCTTACATCACATTTTATAAGAGTTGTAATTATTCAAAATTTTCACCGTTTGTGGGGGAGGTACTTGATGGAGTGGACCGAGATTGTCCATCTCGCACCTGACCTAGCATTGATACAAATATTAGGAATGAAATCTCTGATTCGAATTTTTTTTTTGATAATAAACTCTAAGGTAATTCCTTCGTGAGAATACATAAAAGACTTTTTTTAACTGTCTTAAGTCATCGTCTGACTTCTCCCTAAGAGAACAAAGTACAAATTATGGGCCAAAATTGAACTAAGTCTGCCTAAAGCTCCTGTGTTCTATTATAAAGAAGTCAGCCTATGAATTAAGCTAGCAAAAAAGCCTTCTATGTACTTGCACCTTTATGCCGGATGATAACTTTGCTTGATTGATGTCATAATCTGCTGTCATTGTGATTAGATTTGAAAATTATTCATAGTGACAAACAAAAAAATTAAAACAATTATACTTTGTTCCCTATTAAAAATTGTTTACATTCTCAACGTATTAAACTGAAACTGAACTTTGTTTTCATGGCTCCTATGACATAACTATTGAATGACTCTTCTTTTTACCTAATTTAAAATCCAAAGTTCAAAGAATAAAAAATTGCGAAGATGAATGAATTCCAATAGTAAAACAATCACTTCCAAGAAAATTAATTGTCTTATACTAGGAATGAATATGTTGCTACGATTGAGTAGTATTTTGTTAATTTCCAGTTAGGAAACTATGATTTAACGCGTGAGTAAATTTTAATTCAAAATATGAGAGCTAAGAGATCTTTTCTTTTACATAAATATCTGAAAGAAATGGAATTTGGATAGCAGTTGAAATTCAGAATTCGAGCACCAGCTTAGAACTTGAAATAAAGTTATACAAAACAATGGCGAAACGTTTGCTAACTCTTACTGTTATGTGTATTGTTGGAGCTGTGATAGTTCGCGGTGAATTCGATAAAAATGAGGCCATTGCTAAATTTATATCTAAAGCCGAACAATGTAAAACAGAAGTAGGCGCAACGGATGGTAATCTCTTTGGACTATTCTTGAAAATCATATTCCAATACTAATTATTTACAAATTTTTATGATTAATTCCAATCCCAATAAAATTTTATCAATGATCAAAACAAAAAAAAAACTCTTAAAAACCATAGCCGACATTGGAGAAATGGTGGGCAGGAAACCCGCTTCAACAATGGAAGGAAAGTGTATGCGTGCATGTCTGATGAAGAAATTTGAAGTGGTGAGTTGTATGCATGGCTATTTTATCCTCATATTTCCTTATACCAGTGTCCTCCTTCTAGATGGATGACTCGGGCAAGTTCGTTGCCGATGTTGCCCTGAAACATGCCGAAAAAGTAACCGAAGGTGCAGCTGATAAAATGCAAGTTGCTTCGGAAATTATCAATGCTTGTGCTGGCATTGAAGTCTCATCGGATCATTGTCAAGCGGCTGAAGATTATGGCAAGTGCTTCAAACACGAGGCTAACGCACATGGAATCGATGAAAATTATCAGTTTTAATTGTTAAATGTAGTTTGGAAAGTTTATAATCTGACCCTGTAACCCTGTTTTAATATATATTTATTTCAATTATCCTTTGGCTCAATTGTTGAATTGTAGTAATAAATGTTTTCCATTATCATCAAATATTTCAAAAATTTTGTTGGCTCTTTATATCCTACAACACGATGTGTTGGGGGTATTATAAGTTTGATTGGGTCAAAACTTATGTTATACCTCGAAATATTGGTTTCCCACATAGGATAGTATATATGGATCTTCCTATCTCCGTCCGTCCGTCTGTCCATGATAGTTTGTAATCACTCTACAGGTCGCAATTATGACCCGATCATCACGAAATTTAGAATGGACGTGGGGCTAGGGCCAGAATAGAAGCATATTGCTTTTGGAGATGATTGCATAATATTTAGGTTGAACAATTTCCTGATTTTGTAGTTACTCTACAGATCGCAATTATCGACCAATCGGCGCGGAAGTTAGCGTAGTATTAGAGCTTAGGGCTGTGCCGGAGCCTTCCAATTTTGATGGTCATCGGGTAATATTTAGTGGGTGAAATAGACAATAACATTTGTGAATAAAAGTCAAATTTTCCATTGAACCTTGAATATTTTTAAACCCAATTTCGCCGGGTTTAAAAAATGAACAGGTAAAATCTGACCATTACGTGGAAGCAGATAATAAATATATCGGATACATATAGCGAAATATATACAATGTGTATATACAAAGGAAGCGGATGTTAGCTAGAATGCACATATCTCATGAATGGCTGGATCGATTTTGACAAATTCGAGTATACTCTCTTGGCTAAAAGTATAGAATCACAAAAAAAAAAAAAGTAAGCAAAGGCTACAGTCGAACGGGGCCGACCGTTGAATACCCTACAACACTATAATAAACGATACAGTTTATATAGGCGAGAAACTCGAAAGAATTCCACAAGATATTGTGACAAATATTAAAAGAAAACCATCAGGTTTCAATTAATAGCAACTTAAACTAATTTGCTCACTTCCAATTTATTGGTAGATTTTGCACGTAAATGGTCTTCCTAGATCTGAAACCAATATTTCCCAAAGACCTATAATCTCTCAGAAGTGGCAAAAGATTAACATTTATTATTGGTTTTTGACTGAAACGCATCTATATGAGATACAGACATTTGACAATATTCTTCAACGAAATAGTCAGAAGTGCGTCTTTCCAGTATTTGTGAATTCTCCAAAAAGTCACTGGAATGGACATTTTCGTATTTTGTCTACAAAAGTTGGCAAACTATTTCACACATTGAATATTTTTGGATGGCCATCCAAAACTGCTTGGCTTTCGCAATGCCCGGTAACCCCTATTCAAGTGTGCGTGAGGATCGGGCAATAATTATGACCTGCTGACAAGTTTGCAGTTTTTTTGGTCCATTTCAACCCCTAAATATATGGCGATCATCTCATCTTCTGTTCTGACCCTTATTTGGTCCCCATGCAAAATTTCGTTAGGATCGGGCCATAAATACGATCTGTATATGATATCCTAATTTCCTAACTACTTAGTTTTGTTAGCTGTAGAAATATTACCAAATGTTTAATTCAAAATGAAAATATGCCAAAAATGTGACAAAATTGAAAAAATATGAGAAAATTTTACAACATCAATATTTTCATCTTTAGAGAGATATTTTTATGCGGTTTTTTAGACGTTGTTTCTTTCCTGCCAAGAGGCCATTCTGAATTAATGAGAACTGTCGAAATCAGTTCAGCCGTTCTCGACATATAAGAGATCTTTTAAGACATATATATCGCACATATTTTGCTATATATCCGTTTTGTTGGATGTTAATATCAATGTAAATATCAGAAGTAACCTTGTCATGGCTTTGTGATTTTGCCGGGATTTAAAATATTCGCGGTTTAAGGTAAAATTTTGAATTTTTTCAACACAAAAGAGATGGTCTATTTCGATGACAACCCAAATTGGAAGGCTTCTTCCCCGCCCTAAACTCTAGCTTCATGCGAAGTTCCGTGTCGATTGCGACCTGTATAGCTACTACAAAATCCGAAATTTTTTCAGTTTTTGGTCCATTTCGACACCTAAATATTATGCGACCATCTCCAAAAGAAATAGGGTTCTATTCTGACCCTAGCTCCACCTCCATTCTAAATTTCGTGAAGATCGGGCCATAATTGCGACCTGTAGAGTGATTAGATCGACTCAACTTGGTGAGATAGGAAGATCCATATATACTTTCCTATGTGGGAAATCAATATTTCGAGGTGTTACATAATTTTTGGCCCAATCAAACTTATAATACCCCCAACACATAGTGTTGTAGGGCATAAAAATCGAATACTTATTTCACATTTTATGAGAGCTAAAGTTATTACCAGAAGAAGTGGTCCTTTTTCCAATTGACCTAGCACTGATAAAATATTAGGACTTGTAAAGTTTAAATAAAATAGCATGATTCTTTCTTGTTCTACGAATTAAATTATCTTCTATGGTGAATGTACCAGAAATAGTGTGAACTTGATCTAAGTTTTGATAATAATATTTAAAATTAAGAAGAGAATTTAAACTCGCTCTTCGGTTGTCAATTCACTTCTCTGTCCGGCTCGAGGGATCAAATATAAAGTGAAAAAAGAAAGAACAACCTAATTCTTTAGATGTAGTTTCGATTCATATGTTTCGAAAAATATGTTTCTTCAGTGATAAAACTAATCTAACTTAACCTAATCGCAGCCACACAATTATTCTTAGCTATTCTAATATTAAATTAAATATTAAAGAGAATATCACAGGGCTGCTTGCCCTTTCATTTGACGGAAACATTTTAATCTTTTATACAAAATAACATTGCTATAAAGTGCATGAGAAGGATTATATTAAAAAAATATATATCGGAGAAAAGTTGCACAAAATGGAAACTTACGTTCCGAAATTCACTCCATTTGGGCTGCTATTAGCCATTATTTGCACAATAAACCTGAAATCGGATTTAGGATATATATGGGAGCTATATCCTAATCTTAGCCGATCTCGAAAAAATTTGGCAAATGTATTTTCGAGCTCTATAAGATATCTGGTACCAAATATCAGTGTTGTTGAATGCATATTACGAATGTGAGGGACTTAAACACCAAATCGGATGAAACATATATATGGGAGCTATAGCTATATCTCAACCGATATTCATCAAATTTTATGTACTTGCTTCTGGACTGAATTCGGTTGGATATGCCAAAATTCATGTTATTATGATGATATTAGACATTTGGTGCACAATTAACCCAAAATCGGTTGAAGATATATATGGTAGTTATATCCAAATCTGAACCGATTTTGATAAAATTTGGCATATCCGATACCATACATCATTCTTGCGGGGTGCATATTACGAATGTGGGGAACTTAAACACAAACTCGGATGAAGCATATACATATGTATTGTGAGCTATATCCATATCTCAACCGATATTCAAATTTGATTTACTTGCTTCTGGACTGAATTCGGTGGGATGTGCCAAAATTCAGGTCATTAGGACTTAAGCTGGGAATACATAAAGCGCTTATTTGGCTGGCTGAACAAAGGAGCCTAGGGCCAAAATCGAACTAGGTCAACCTAAAACTCCTTTGTTCATCTACGAAGAAGCCAGCCGATGACTTAAGCCAGCCAAATATGCGCTTTATGTATTTCCAGCCTTATGTTGGCCATTTGGTGCACAATTAAACCGAAATCGGTTGAAGATATATGGGGGCTATATCTAAATCTGATCCGATTATCACCAATTTCAATAGGGTTCGTCCTTGGGCTAAACAAATATTGTTTGGATAATTTCATCTCAATCGGATAATAAATGCGACCTGCATTTTGTTCACAAGAATATATGGACATACGGACTGATGTGCATAAATCGACTCAGAAAGTGATTCTAAGAAGATTCGCAAAAGTGACTATGGGTCTATCTCGCTTCCTTCTCCATGTTACAAACAAATGCACAAAGACATAATACTTTTACCATTAAGTTGTGTAGGGTATAGAAAGTGTATGCCTATTGTGTATCTAGAAATGGAATCTTCTATCTATATCTATAAAAGAAGAAAATGATTGTATGTTTGTTTGTTTGTAATTTATGGACTCGAAAACCGCTAAACAGATTTTCCTGAAAATTTGCATGTATACGGCAACATCGCCTGAAAGTAACATGGGCTATATACATTTTTGAAATTCCACTTGGAAGTGGAGATATAGCATCAAAATCGGAGGTACCTCACAAAAATTTAGATTTTGTATGCACATATCCATTGATCGATTATAGATACAGTCTCCAAATTTGGAATACGTAACGGAATTTGGAACAAAAATAAATTTGCCAAATTATATTGAAATCGGTTCAGATTTGGATATAGCTCCCATATATATTTTCGGCCGATTTCAAGCATTTGATGCACCAAACACGCTATGTATCCCAAATTTCAATGAAATTTAAAACGTGTGATGGATTTATCTAAAAAATTGATTTCCCAAATTATATTGAAATCGTTTCAGATTTGGATATAGCTTCCATATATATTTTCGACCGATTTCGTTCATTGGATGCCTCAAACACGCTATGTATCTCTAATTTCAATAAAATTTGGAATGTGTAGCGGAAATTAAAACTAATGTACATTTGTCAAATTATATTGAAATTGGTTCCGGTTTAGATATAGCTCCCATATATATATATATTCAACCGATTTCATGTATTTGTTGCATCAAACACGCTATGTGTCTCTAATTTCAATAAAATTTGGAATGTGTAGCGGAAATTAAAACGAATATACATTTGTCAAATTATATTGAAATCGGTTCAGATTTGGATATAGCTCCCATATATATATCTTCAAACTGATTTGATGCACCAAACACGATATGTATGTTCGATTCCAATTAAATTGGGAATGTGTGACGGGATTTTGATTAGAAAATAAATTAGTCAAATTATATTAAAATCGGTTCAGATTTGAATATAGCTCCCATATATATTTTCCGCCGATTTTACATATTTGATGCACAAAACACGATACGTATTTCCGATTCC